GTTGTTTGGTGGGTCCGGGCTAGGGATTCGAACCCGCCACCTTAGGTGTACGTGGCTGGCGCCTTAGCTGGTTGAGCTATAGGCGCCGAGCCACTCTCAGTTTTGTTTTTTAGGAGAATTCTCCTCTGCCTTCTGGACCAGAAAGAAAAAGATAAGCAGAAAGCATTTTCTTGTTTTTTAACTCTTGCCCTCATACTGACCTTCTCCAGATTGAAAGTACTTTCTGTAGAAAGTCCTAGAGATCCTGATGAGAATAGGTGATACATAGGGCTTTTAAATTCTCCCCATAATGCTCTTGTATTTTTTCGGACCTCAGGAGTGGGATGTGGGACCGGCAGTAAATGGACATGGCCCAGGGAAAGCCGGAGCAACCACAGAACATGTACACGACAAAAAGAGGCCATACCTGGAGGATGCCAATCACCTTCTTGGCTATAAAAGGGCCAAAATGAGATGCCTTTGATAAGCTCACTCCTTTGTAGTCTGCAAGAATTACAATTCCATTCACTTGGGTTTCTTCAGACTGAATGAGTTTTTCTAATGTCAAGTATATGGCTCGGATGTTTTCAGTAATTGGATAGTTGCTTGGTATCCATCTGTCTAAGGTCATAAAAGATGGGCAGTATGTTACAGAAGTGAATATTAATAAGAGATCAAAGATTTATCTCCTTTCTAAAACTGTTGTTTTGAAATGGAAAAGATACTCAAATGGTCATAATTCCATTTAGGTTAGTCCATGGGACACTTTAGGCAGCAACGGATGTTTCTTAACTCCCAACATAGCAGCACATTCTGAAATGGAAATGCAATTGAGTGTTGAGGTTAAAAGCATGAGGTCTGAAGTCAGACCCACCTGTGGGTTTGAAGCTTCCTAGCTGTGTGACCTTGGGCAAGTTCCTTCCTCACTATGCACAAGTAGAATAAAACAGAATGGGCTGAGAACACGCACCTCCAGGGACACCTGTGCTTTCTGCTATTAGATATTTCCTTGTATCTTCATGACACCACCCCGGTTTTCCTTGGGGAACCACCTCCTCCCACTCTAGCCATGCAGTTTGGATAGAACTGAGTTGACTCTTGGCTCCAGAAGTGGGCAAGTAATTGGGGACTGATTGGCCAATCTGGTATTACATCTTCCTGGCCACAGTGTGTGATCCAAGTCAGGTCAAGCTGAACCAAGGAGCCTCACCTGGCCCTCTGAAAAAAGATCTCTCTTCCCTCTTGTAGTGGTGAGGCTGTGAGCCTGTGATTCATGCTGGCCTGGGAATGAAGCCCCTGCTGAGGGCAGCAGCAACGGAGACAGTTTTCCAGGGCTGGAGTTATGAGCCCCCGAGTCTAGCTATGCTTGGACTTCAGTTATCTGAGCAAATAAGTTCTCTCTTTTTTTTTTTTTTTTGTTTCATCCATCCTGAGTCGGCTTTCTGTTACATGCCACCCCAAGATAATCCTAATTCATACACCCTGGGATTATTATAAGTATGAAGCACAATGCTATGAGGAGACCCCTCACCAAGCTCCCCTTTCCAGAACACACTTCCCACATATTTAATAATTCTTTCCACTCTTTGGGAAAAAGATGAAAATAATTTTTGACTGTCAACCACCGTTCTCCAGGAAAATCTCACCGAGATCTGTATGCCACCTTCTTGGCCAGACAAAACTTCACATTTGTCACCAATGAGGTATACAATTATTATGAAAAATCTTTGTCCAAAAATTGTGCCAGCTTGCTATTTAATGTTGTTGCAGGTTAAAACTGCCTCTGCAGAACGGGATGACACCCCTTTCAACCACATGCTTCTTAAAAGGGCTTTAAAAAAGGCATCCTTTAAGCTGGCATTATAAGGCAAGAATGAAAATGACAAAAACGTAAAAATAATTTTTTTAATTTAAAAGATTTTTTAAAAAACTGAACAGGCAAAGCTGATACCTACTTGCGAACAAAACCTTCTGCGTAAGCTGCCTGCTAAAAAAAGTTGGGTCAGTGGGGAAGAGCTCAGACCTGCTCCAGACATATGGGGAAAAAATTAATCTCACAAGCAAAGGGTTGAAACCACAGAGCAAAGTGCAACTACTGTGGTAATCTCTGACTGTTTTGTAATATTCCTATAAGCTGAGTACAGAGCTGCAGCAGAAAAGTTTAACTGGTATTTCTTGGTGCCCTGAAGTCTACAGTGCATTGCTTATTTTAAATGCACTGCAGATTTCAAGGGACTAAGAAATTTTGAAAAGTGCCTAAAATAGCAGGAAGAATGAGGAAGTGTCCACTCCCTAACAGACTGGCCTTCCAGAGGGGTTTGGATGCTCAAGCAAAAGAGGGCCGTCAGGGTGCTCTCATTCTCTGACTTACTTGGGAAGAACATTACATATGACTTTCATTTTGTTTTTCTAGCTCTGGTTTGATGGAAAATGTTGAGGTTTGCGGTGGAATGGAGAACACTCTTAAGTTTATAATGCATTTGGAATCTGGAAGAGAACAGGATTGAGGATCTGAAGTCTCAAGTTCTAGTACCCCCTAGCCATGCCTAAATGCTCTTTGGGAAGCACTACTAAATGCTCTTTGCTGGGAGGTGGCAGGGAGCTGCCTCCAATTGCAAACTACCATGCCAAAGAAATGTAAGCTATCCTGATTACTATCAGGAAGTGCTAAGATCAAAAAATGAATCTAAAGGGAATATTACCAGTGGCTTAATAAAATAGAGGAAGGGAAGGAAAGGTCAGAGGAGACCTCACTGATTCCTGTACCTCAGCCTACCCACAGAGGAGGTTGGGGTTGCTGGCAGCCATGCTTGTGTCCTAGACCCGGGCAGATTCCTCAGCCCACCAGAGTCTCTCCCTAGAAATCTGGAATCTGCACTCAGGAACTTAATTGAGCAGTCAGATAGACCGGAGAGCTGAAGGGTGCCAGATATAGCTACGTATACAGGGGCAGGGAAAACTGGACGACAGGAAAAAACGTAAAGCACACATGCAAAAGGCAGCAGGGGGGTGTGGTCCATGGACTGTCAGAAGCAGCGCCAGGCAGAATGGCTGGCAGATCCTGGGGACATGCTGTGCTTGGTTCTAGGGCCTAGTAGAGTTGCTATACTTTCAGATCTCTGTTCCAGGAGATACTCCCAACTGTTAACCACTAAATCCTCCCCTTGTTCTCAAGTTGGTTTGAGTAGGTTTTTGTCTCTGCAATCAAATGAGCCTTGACTACAAGAAGGGGTAAAAAAGGGACCAGGGAAGGAAGATGGTGCTGGACAGATACACCCCACAACAGTGCAGAATACCTGGGCGGAGGCAGAGGACGTGGCAGCCCCTGGGGTCAGTGTGAGGCAGCACGGTGAGGAATCCGGAAGCGAGGACATCTTTTAAGGCTGATGGCCTCAGGTTATTGAAGACTTCAGGCCAGCTCCTCCTGCAGCTGTGGTAGTTGACTAGGAGCTGCAGGGCCCGGTCGTAATCAAACTTGCGGGCTCGGAGGAAGCGCAGCAGGAAGGCGTCGTCAAGGGACGTGCTAAGGTTCGGGTACTCCTTCCGCACCATGTCACGCAGGGCCTGCACGTCCCGAAGTCGCCATTCTGGCTTCTCCTGCAGTTCTTCTCGGGCTTTGGTGACCAGTTCTTCCGTCAGCGAGCACACATAGCCGGGAGGCTCAGGCGGCGGCAGCTCATTTTCGGAGAGCGAGGCCACAGAAGGGCTGGATCTCAGAGAGTCGCTTTCTCTGGACATGAGCTACCAGGATCCCTGCCAACACAGAAGTCCCAGGCCAAGTTAATAAAGCTCAGCAGTGCTCATGCCAAACCGCAGGGCAGCACGAGGTGGGGGACAAGGACAGGGACAGGAGTACTTCTGTCAAAGCCAAGTAACATCAGAGCAGGGTTTCTCAACCTGGGGAATGAACCAGATCTGAACCAAATGCACAGATGTGTCCCCTGCTCGGGAGGCACTAAGCAGCTAGAACAGAATACACACTCCTCACTGAACACCATGGCCTTGCTTACAAATGTACGAACACGTGCTCAACTTATTTGTTGTGAAATAAATGTGAATTAAAACAACTCTGAGATTCCAACTGGCAAAAATAAGAAAGAGGGGCTCTGATATGCTTGCTGGAGGTGAGACTATAAATTGACACAGCTTCTTTGGAGGGCAGTTTGCCAGTTTCTATGAGAATTCCATTTCTAGAACATATGCTTGCATGTATGTGCAAAACACAAATATTGATTTATCATGATAAAAGACTGGAAGCACCTTACCTGCACCATCAGTAGGAGAGTGGTTAAATAATATTACCAGGTGAATGGGCTACAATCCTGTCATGAAAAGGAATCAGACAGATCTTTACAGACTGATGTGTTAAGAAAAAAGCAAGCAAGTTGCAGAACGGTGTGTGCAAAATAATCACATTTATGTTTTTAAAGTATATATATATATATATATATATACACATATTTGTGAATGCACAGAACATTTCTTGAAGGAGATATAAGAAACTGTTACCAATGGTTACCTTTAACAGAATAGAACATTTAAAATGTGGAAGGCTGGGCACTGTGGTTCAGACCTGAAATCCTAGCACTGTGGGAGGCTGAGGGAAGGAGATCACTTAAGCCCAGGAATTAGAGACCAGCCTGGGTAACAGAGCAAAATCTAGTCTCTGCAAAAAAATATAAAAAGTAACCAAGTGGTGCATGCCTGTAGCCCCATTAACCAGGTGTGGGGCTCCAGCTACTCAGGAGGCTAAGGCAGGAGGATCCCTTGAGCTGGGAGTTCAAGGTGGAAGTGAACCGCTGTACTCTAGCATGGGCAAGAGTTAAGACCACCCTGTCTCCAGAAGAAAAATAAAAATAAAATGTGAAAGAGCCATTTCACTATACTGTCTGAATTTTTTTTACCATGTACCAATGTAACTCAATATGGCAGTCAAGAAAATGCACTCAGATGGACATGGCAACTCATGCTTATAATCCCAGCACTCTGGGAGGCTGAGGGGGTGATAAATTCATGAATTCCAGACTGGCCTGAGCTAGAGCCAGACCCCATCTCTAAAAATAGCTGGGCACTGTGGCAGGTGCTTGTAGTCTCAGCTACTCAGGAGGCTGAAGCAAGAGAATTGCTTGAGCCCAAGAGGCTGAGGTTGCTGTGAGTTATGATGCCATGGCACTCTACTAAGGGTGACAGAATGAGACTCTGTCTCAAAAAAAAAAAAAAAAAAAGGAAAGAAAAGAAAAAGAAAATGCACTGGTCCGGCCTCCTGCTGGGAATAACCACTGCCCCTCTGGATCTGCCTCTACGGGATGTCCCACTTTCCACAGATCTCTCCCAGTCAATGCCTGGGTGACACACAGGACTCCTCTAACAGGCATCTTGGGCTCCCTTGTTGGTCTAGCCAAACCCTTCTGACGCCTGCATTGCAGTCAGGGACATTCTTCCTGCCCAAACATCCTTCACAGGGGCCTGACCCCCATCACTGCTGAAGGCTCTTCATGACTTCTCCAATTCCTTCCCCTTGGCCTTTCACAGGTGTTACCTTGACTTTCTTGCATATCTAATCTTATAGTCTCTGCTTCTTGGAGGGCATGAACTAACACACTTACTGAATGAAAAACACAAACAAAACACTTGCCTTAGATATTCCAAGAATAAGGTAGTAGCAGGACAGCTGCTAATCCCAAAGCCCAAGTCTTCTGTGTTTTTCGTTTTCTTTTTTAAAGACAGGGTCTCATTCTATTGTCCAGGGTATAATGCAGTGGCCTCATCACAATTCACTGCAACCTCAAACTCCTGGGCTCAAGTGGTTCTCCTGCCTCAGCTTCCCAAGTAGCTGGGACTACAAGCTCATGCCACCAAAGCCCAAGTTCTTATTTATGGGGTGTCACTGGCCTTCCACTATGAGCTCAAGAAAGTAGAGACTGTTGGGGGGGGGGGTCCCTGCAGACCTTTGTTGTACTAACTACACCTAGATTGGACTCTTACAGTCCTCTGCAACCAGGTCATTTCCTTTAAATCTTAGGTCTGCCTGCTCCGTTCCTTGCATTCCAACTTCCAGCTCTACTCAGCTTCTTCTGCTTCCCTCAAAGGTGTGTTCTGCTGCCCTGTGCACATCCTGCTTCATCCAGCTACCATGCTCCCTCCAGTTCTTCCCCTGACCAACACTGAGTCACCCTTAAGTCCTGATTAAATGCCACTGCGCTCATTCAACAGACATGGAGCATTTACAATGTACCTGGCCCTCTTCTAGGTACTGGGATACAGAAGTGAATAAAACCCCCAACCTCATTGAGCTTAGATTCCAGTGGGGGGGGGGAACACAGTAAACAACGTAGATTGTACAGTCTACTATAAGGTGGTAAATGCCTTAGAGAAACAGAGCATGGAACAGGGCTGGAGATACCCAGGGGTAGGAGATGCAATTTTAAAGAAGGTGGTTAGGGAAGGCCTCACCCAGGTGACATGTGAGCCAAGATGGAGGAGGAGTAAACCATGAGCATCTGGGGGAAGAACAAATGCAAAGCCTGAGGCAGGAACATGCCTGGCTTTGGGGGGTGAGGAGAACAGCAAGAAGGCCAGTGTAGCAAGAGCCAAGGCTTCATGGGCCAGTAAGTACTTTAACTGTTACTCAGTGAGGTGAGCACCATGGAGGGTTTGGGAAAGACTGACATGATCCTGATTTGTATTTTTAAAGGATCACTCTGCCGTCTTGAGAATGGACTCTAGAGGGTGAGGACTGAGGCAGAGAGACCCTTTAGCAGCTATTGCAATAATCCAGCTGAGTGGTGATGGTGGCTTGAGGCAGGCAACCTTTGCTGACAGCCAGGTTAGGCGGCTCCTACACAACTCTTTCAGCATAGCACTCCCCCTATGCTGTTGTAATCGTCTGCAGGCAATTTATGAGCAACACCCCTGTCTGTCTGGGTCATCACCTTAAACTCAACACCTGACATGCTGTTAGACATGAGGTCTGCACTCCATAAATGTTTGTTGAATGAGTTTAATTTCCTTGGCAGAGGTATGCTGAGTGAGGAATGGAAACACAATGATGGCTCTGTTTCCGAGGCAGTCACCAACAGAGGCATGCAATCTAGTCAGTGTTTACCTGTGAGATAAACTGCAGTGTCCATGGGCTATGGACCTCACCTCAAGGCTCCTCTCGGAAATCATTTTCCTCCTCCCCACCTTGATGCATATTAAGTGCCAGCAAATGAATGACCCGCCATCATCTGAACACCTCTTGTGCTTCTGATGGCCTTTGCATGGAATTTCCTCTCCTTATTTGTTCCTAGCCAGACAACTCATCTTCTTCAAGCTGCAATGCCCCCTCCTCTCTGAAGCCTTTCCTGCCCACCCCTTCCTCCCCCTCCCCCAACCAGGTGATTGTCAGTTTTCCACAGCACTGGGTTCATATTTGTTCTTTAAGAAATTGCAGTCCAGTGTCATGAAATTCCTCAGGGCTGATTTCACCCCCCATTCATTTATCAAATAATTTCTGATCACCCACCCTATGTGTCAGGCCTTGTATGTGTCAGACAGATACTGGGGACACAGCAGCAACAATCTAATGCTTCGCCTTGTGAAGCTTCTATCATAGAGGAATGATGAAAAGAGATAGTATGTTCTTGAGTGTTTTACCATGTATCAAGCATGGTGCTAAGCCCCATACATCATTTTCTTATTTAATCTTCACATTATTTGGCGACAGCACTATTACAGGTTTCCACTTTACAAAGGAGGAAACTGTCCCCTAGAATGTGAATCCCACAAGGGCAGAGAACTGGCCCAGCCTCAGCGTCTGGCACCTATCAGTGCTCTGTAAGTATCAGCAGAAGATATGAGGTTAAGTGATGGGCCCAAGGGTACACACCTCATAAGCCAGAGCAAGGATGCATCTAGCCCCACCCTAAGCTCATAATCTCTACCCTCCACTTGGAGCTGTTTAATCTCCAGGGCTCAGTCACAGTCTGGTGAGCTGATAGGTGGACATGATGGGATGCAAACACCACTTGTTAGGGTGAAGCTGGGAATCTCTACCTGGAGCCCATCACTTTCCTCTCCACCCCACCCCCCAACAGGGAGAGGCCAGGCAGCCATCTGTCCTGGAGCCCCAGAGACCCCCATAGCCCAGTGACAACCTTCCGAGGCCCCCACTTCCGGCTGTGGCCCCCTCCCCAGGTGTCCCCATTTCCTGGGGTCTCTCGCTCCTTTGGGCCCCACTTCCGGTTATCCCTCCCTCTCAGGGGTGTCTTTCCTTGGTCCCCAGGGACCACGGACGGGGTCGCGGGCACTCACCGGCCCGGCTACGGGGCGGAGCGCGGGTCAATCGGCGGCTGGAGCCTCGTCCGGCAGCGCGCACAGAACCGACCCGCACTCCCGGCCCGGCCCGGCCCGGCCCCTCGCGCCGGAAGTGACGTGTCAGGGCGTGGGAAGGCGGGGCGCCGGCCAGGAGTGCGCATGTGCGAAAACTCCCCGCAAAGCAGGCCTTTGTCCCCACCTGGCGGCCGGACTCCGAGGTGTGGGACCCGGACCCGACAGCACCGGCATCTTGTCACAGCTGGCTTATAGATGGGGAAACTGAAGCCCAGAGAAGGAAGGAAAGAAGCTGCCATTTTCCAAGAATATACTAACATGTTTCACATCTATTGTTTCATTAAATCCTATGCGATTCCCCTACTTTATGAAAGAGAAGCTGCCGCTCGATGCGGTAAAAGGCTTCAAACTCAGACCTCAGGGTTGGAATTCCAGAATTCCTCCTACCACAGCTGCTCTAGGACTGGTTGCTCTAAAGGCAGAGATTGGGGACATCTGGCTGTCATTAGCTGAGTGACCTTGGAAAAGTCCTCTTTCCACCTTTGGCCTCGGTTTCTTCATCTGTAGCATGATTTTTGCTGTGGATCTTGATTCAATAATCCTTTTTTTCCTGCTTTGATAGCTTGAAAAGGCTTTACTAGTTAGTCTCCCTAGTCCATTAAAACCCTCATCCCAACCCCTCAAATATTTTGTGCAACTGCAAATTTGAGGCAAATCTAAGACCCTATTTCGGGCAAAGACAGTAAAACCATTTCTAGAGAGAAATTGTGGTGGTCCCGGAGAACTCTTAGTCCCAAGAGATGACATTAAATAGTCTTTTCCTTTCTCACCCAGGGGCAAGAGGGGTACCAGCGAGATGGGAGGTGACCCTCCAGGGCCACAGGAACACACCGCCCTATGATAGGCCCTCCTGCTTCAGCCTCCCAAGTAGCTGGGACTACAGGTGCTGGCCACAGCACCCGGATAAGTTTTTTCTATTTTCAGTAGAGACAGAATCTCACTCTTTTTTTTTTTTTTTTTT